GTTGAGTCCAGGCCTCGGACAATTAATTATAACATTGTACTGAAAATCCTGGAAATTAAAATCCACTATTCCGTACAGCAGGGAGTCAATAGTAACCATTATATCTTTTTGTATATTGTTAGGCGTATTGCAGACGATTTGATACTCTGAAACGGCTTTGGCGGATACTTACTCTGGTGTTTTGAGCAATAATTACAGAAACATGGCACTGGTGTTCTCTGGATATTTATATCCAGAGTTTTAGGGGCGATTGGAAAGCGTCGACGATCCTGTCAAATAACACTTTTGTGGATATATCTGTAATTATTTGAAACCTGAGAGCAAATATTTATATGCTTAAATGACGCAGAAAATAATAAACTGTTTTCTTAAAAGGGTGAATGTTGACCCAGTCGGCCTAGAACAACATTCAAGCAACCTTGTACGAATGTGATTCAGTCACATTCAAGCTACCTTGTGGCTTCAACTCAGTTAGTAAATACAATCACACAAATGTCACGCGTCCAGCTTCAGATATACATGCATCTCGATGCAGCACATGTACTCAATACGAAATTAACACTGCGATACGTTTCAAATTGATTTAGAGACGGCAAACATCAAATTCTCAACTAAGAAAAGTAAAAAGTCCCAGTGTCGCTAGCGAAGTGGGGGGGGGGGGGGGGGGGGGGGGGGGGGGGGGGGGGGGGGGCATCCGTATTCGCGCTTCAGTTTCTTCTTATTGACAAATATTATTAAATTAAATATAGAGTATCCAAATAAAAATTTACGGAGAGCGGCGGACTCCAATAATATGTTATTCCGTCAATACAGTTCTAGAATTATTGTATTATATTTATTTTTTCCGAGCCCAGGTTGAGTCCACGACCGCGTGCGAGCCATCACAGGCGAATTCCAGAATCGAATGTTGTGCAAAGTTTTTACATGAATTAGATGTGCATTTATTAAACATTTATACACTTTCGAGTTCGGTACGCAAAGTCATCTTAACTAACAATAACAAAAAAAAACTAAGCACTCAATGTTCGCAGTAATGCATTGTAAAGTTAATAGATGAATTGATCAGCATCGTGCTGAAATTTGGAGTCAAATTAGGCGCTTGTTCTCCTCTAGGTAAGCCTGCTTATATTGGTAGGTGTTTTCCACTGTACGAGTCCGCTAGGCACATCGTTGACTGTGCGCTCCTTTTCAATACAGCGAAACTTTCTGTAAAAGCTTTAGCAGGTCCTTAAGCAGATTGCTCTCTATGAAGAACTTGTCAAGGTTGTTCTCATTGAGCGCGTTTTTCTTGGCACCAATTTCGTCGACATTTTTAAGCCTCGTCCTTGAGCAGCGTTTCTATCTTGTCAACAGCTTCGTTGGTCATGGTGACATGAGGAAGCCTGGCACCCGCAACAACTCTCTCTCTCTCTCTCTCTCTCTCTCTCTCTCTCTCTCTCTCTCTCTCTCTCTCTCTCTCTCTCTCTCTCTCTTTCCTAGTCGTTCGGATCTTACTACAGTTTAGTATCATCGACGATGCTTTTGTATGTTCACAATCTTCGCTGGAAGCTGCAACTGGTCTGGCCGACATCAACAGCTTTTGGTGAAGGGGTCGCTGCAAGCGTGGTAAGGTCTGCAGCAACAGTAGTCGAGGCACCCTTTGCGGTAGTAAGAGCGTTGGCTATGACAGCCAGCAGTGTGTGCACACTCACATCAGAAGCAGTAAACAACGGTGAAGTCTGGTTCTACATAGGTACGTCGACTTGCAGCTGTTCACATCTCGCATCCACTCATGATAACTGTCTTTGAAGAAATGCGTAAGCACAGTATGGCAAGCTCCGCGTGCGATTCCGATTTTACGTTTCTGAGTTGCAGTGAAACCGGATATCCTGTCGTACATAATATCATTTTGGTCCGCCGAGTCTAGTATAAAGTAACTTGATAAAACCCAAATGACAAACCTGATACGAAATTTTGAGGATACATGCTTGCATTCAACTCTATATACTATAGTCTGGGACTATTATACAATGCGGCTGGGAAACTAGTGATCGACGTGTCATAGCCACCGGTCTTAAAATTACTCGTGTGTGTTGCAATATCTCGATGCAGAGCTTCTTCATTTCCTATTTTCTAAGCCGTCGTACCTTCTCGTCTCCGAGGTACATGTGAATAGTAACATTTGTATTTATCCTTCGACCCTAGCAATAGCTTATTTACTCGACGTGACCTGAGGAACATGGTATATTGCTTGATCTGATCGAGTAGATCAGGTAGCGAACCTTTTATTGTAGTACAAGAGCGAAAATCCTTCGGGAAGAACAGCTGCAGGTATCGTGGACTCTACTCGTCTCAAAAGTTTTAGCTGTAGAGGTAGAGCAAATCATCGACTACCAGTGCGCCCTTACTGTGTTTGAATTATGTCCGCGTTTTCTCTGACACACACACACACACACACACAGGCATCGGCGAAATGCTGTAATGTTTTAACTTTTTTCACCCCACTAAAATGCGTTATTACGTCATGTGGAAACTCCAAAATTTTCACATATTGTCAAGTCGCTATACCGCATAATCGTATATTTAATGATGCCAGACGGTTATTACCTTATTTTACTTAGGATTTGATGTTGTTTTACTTGTTAAAATAAGCTTAAAGTTAAAGCTTTGCATTGGTTAGTAGTATATCTACTCGCTATCATAGCTATCATCACCGCTAGCATAGCTATCATCATCGCTAGCATAGCTATCATCACCCGTCTCAATGTCGTCGTCCGAATCTATCGTTGCCTCTACGAGTTAAAGTCTAAGCAGCTTTTCCATAGTAGACTCTGTATCGCAGGAAGGAGAATCGTCGTCTTCGACGACACGTGTACCCATCAATAATATCACCTTTTGAAGCCCACGAGAGAAGGTAGTGGCCGTAAGCTCGTTCCAGCACTCTGTTATCCACGCAGTTATACTGGCTCGTCCCGGTGCTTCAAGTTTAAAGGGTTGTTCGACGAGCTTTGATCGCATTTTCTCTATGGCCGTACGAGCTTCGACTTTCGTTGTAGAGTTTTACACAGTCCTTCTCTACCATTGTCTTCAACACTTTCGCTTTAAAAGCCGCCACAGCTTCCTTGGCATCAGCTGAAGTCTAAGGCCTTACCGTGTTCGTGTTCGCAGTGCTAGCTTTTGACGAAGTAGACATAGCTTAATCCAAGTGTGTGTAGCGTTAAATTTTGTCGTACCAATGCCTACTTTGATAGCCAGGTCCTTTACATGCGTACAAAGCATAAACCGCGTGACGGGAGCACCGCCACGACGCAGTGCGTTGATCCAGCGTACAATTCTTTCTTCAACCTTTTTCAGAATGCCTATAGCGTCTCCAAGGTGTCGTAGATCTCGGTGAGTTCCTCGTCCAGAAGAACAAGCTGCGCGAATGGTGGCGGTTTGTTTAATCCACTTATTGATCTTTTTTTTTTCGTCCAAGTTGCTTGTGAGCGAGCTCGCCATAGAAATATTCAATTGATTCATCTATGTCGTGACCCTGTCTTATGCGATCCAGCACTGCTTTCTTGTGCGCATGCTCCACTGAGTCACTGCAGTAAGTACGGGAGCGTCGACCATCCCCGTTAATGCGTGGTCTAGGCATTGCACGACGATTGTCTTCCACCACAAGTTACGTCCTGCTTCCTCCAAAATTAGCCACTCCGTCTGTTATTAAGGCTATATTTCCGTCAATATATGCATTATAGTTAAAGTTCATGCAGTTGTTCCGGAACCTTATCCAACAGTAGAAATCTATGATGATTCGTTTCAAAAGTCAGTTTAGCTGGGCCGTTAAAATAATGTCCAATTTTTGCCAACACTTTCAATAATTGTCCCTAAACACTAGGTACTTCTGAAGTATCACTTTGCTTATGTGAGACTGTGCGATGCACACGTCTCCGAAACTTGGTGTGTTGTAGTCAAGCTTTCAGTTGAGAGTTTGTTCTCTCTAACGGAGTCCGCTTCGGGTGGAGCTCCAGCTAATTGTAAGCCCGCTCTGTGGGGCCAGTATCGAGTCCATTGTTCTTGTCATTGCACAGGCAACGTCTCCAACCTCTGCAAGTCCGTCAAGGAGCAGCTAGACACTATTAGCTTGTCGACAAAATCATTTTACTGACAGTAGCGAGTAGCCAATCAGAGCGTAGCAGTTTTGGTACAGTCGCAGTTTATGTGCTTGCAGACAAAATGCATCATTACAAACTGATCTTTTTTGTTATCTCACAATGGTTCCTCCAATCATGCCTTCATGACGCTATATTAGAACAGTGTTCACATTTGCTTCGAAGCGAAACATAGCAGTATTCTTATAGACTGGTGTACAAAACGCTAGATCATGATCCGATACAAGATTACATAGTGGGATGTTTTGTGAATATCAAAGTCTTTGCGTATATTTTTCTACACATTTGGGGGTCTTTGGCAACTCTGCATCCCCTACGCTGTGAGGCGTTGCGGTACATTAATTAAGTTCGACTATTTTGTAAAACACCACTTCGAATACTATCATATACAGCTCCAACAACCATTCGATTCTCAAACAAATCTGTGATAATAAAACACGTTGGGACTCAAGTTTCAATTACTCAGCGAGACACCGACCTCGGCATGAAGCCCCCAAGGCTGTTTTGGCAAAAAAAAAAAAAAAAACTCCAAGCCACATCCCATAGTTTAGAGCTTGAATTCTTTATATTTAATGGGCTTACAGTACTTACTTGTTCATATTGTCACTATCGACCCTGAAAGCTATCAAACTGCATGTAAAAAAGGGAGGAACAATGAGACAGCGCAAACGTAGCCATTATATTACGCTATTGTAGCGAACGCGTAAAACATGTTATGCTGTTCTAGGGATAGCGTGAACATAGTGCCCCACTTCACAATGACTGGATGGAAGCTGCGACCGATCATTTTTACCTTCGACGTGTCTAATTAGAAACCATTCCCCAAATTTCCCGTCGAGCATTATATCACCACCTCAACAATATCTGATGTGTGTGTGCACCATCGTGCTGACTGTAGCTGCAGCAGCCTCAATTCTTGGTAATGTCGAATGTGTATCCACTACTGGCGCTGTGGACATTGACGCCCTTGCAACGACCATTACCACGGGTCTTCATACGCCAACTGTTGCCGGGCAGAGTGGTTCTGGCGTCCAGCGACGTCTGAGAAAGCATGAGGCTGCCCATGGTGATTACGACTTGGATCAAGATTCGAGTAACGAAGAAAGAGGTGGTGATGATGTTATGGCCAAGGCAGTAGGTTTTCTCTTTAAGGTCTTCGATGACATGGACAACACGGCGATCAAGGGGGAAGCCAACGACATCATCGGAATGATGGTTATGGAAAAGAAATGGGGGAAAGACGACAAAATTGATGGTATAATCAAAAAGGTGACCAACGGCAAAACTGTGGAGGATGCGGCGGCAGCTGAACGGTAAATGCAGAGTGAATACGAGTCTCTCTTCGACACGATGATCAAATTGGATATTACTACACAAAATATGGAAAGTTACGTCGAGAAGGGACTTGTGAAAATGTCGAAAAAAGAACACGACATCATCACAGACCTTTTCCCGGAGTATTACAAGAAAGTCATGGCTAAGTAACGAGATTTTAACCGTGGAATGTATGGCCATCGTCCACAATTTGGTCTTGATATTATTCTTGATGGTGCTTTTACCGAAATTAAAGTTTTTGCTCCGATGATATGTTGTATTACATTAATTATTGCACATCCTAGTTTTTGTTTTGTTACTATTTTCGCTTGGAAAAACTGCACCTTGCCAATTAAATTTCATACTATTCTACATTAATACCCTGTCAAAATCGTTGAGCGACTGTTTTTTTTATTTTTAGCCTAATTGAAGCTCTTCCGCTCATTTCAAGATTTGAACATTTCTGATCATGAGGCAACTAACCGATGAGGAGCGCGATGCACGTTTACGAAATGCTGCTCCTTCGCAGCTGAAACGGCACTTTAAAACGAGGCGATGCCGTATAAATGACAGCATGCTTTCACGCCAGCCGCTGTGCTGTATCCCGCATTTGGAAGCGAGGCGTCAGCTCGATGGGTAATCGAGTAGCCGCTGTTGTCATGTCAAGAGACGAGCTCATGGGCGATAAGATGGATCGGCGGTATTCTGTGAGCGCATGACTTATTCCTGCGAACGACCGAGAGAATTAACGCAAGATTCAGTTGGCTTCAAACACGAATGCGTCCATGATGAGCCAGCTTATTAAAAGGGTTTCACGCATCGAGCACTGAGGCAAACGCGACATATGCTTACCCCAGCGCATAAAGGCGCGATTGAAGTTCTGCTTGGAGCATGTGAAGCCCGGTCCGAACGGCGGGGTACGCCTTTGATCCGATGCACACTGCTAGTGACGCTGCCCTGATACGTAATAGCTCTGCTCAACGCACAATTCGTCATCACGGGACTTGAAGCTCTGCTACCTCCTACTGTGCATCCATATTACTCGAACTCATGTTGCACCAGTCCAACAACACATGGCTCTACTGTCCCTGCAAGCGTGTCCAGTACGCCGTACACTGTCAAACCTTGATCCTTTCCCTTACTTGCGAGGCGGAGCAAGTACACCTGCAATTTGTGTGCTTTATATTTAAGATTTTCTTTTGTTGCTTTACTGTTTCAAAAAGTTTCAACGGCTAATTTATTACCCTTGAAAAAACAACGAAGTGAAGCTCTGTGATTTTTTTGGTGGATTATTTTTCGAACGAAGGTAGTATAACAACGAGATAGTTCTGACCAAATATTGAAATTGAAATGTAGGAAGCACTAAATACAAAAAAACGGTAATCGAAGGTCCCAATGAAAACTAAGATACCAGAATTATTGGTGTTAGATTTTTCGAGGGAGTTCCATTGAATTTTTTGAGGTGGAGCTTTTTCGTCATTGCAATCAAGAAATTGTAGAGATTTAAGCATTTATACTTTGCCATGATATGAATTGTGCTTTAATTCGGATTTGCTCTGCTAACTAGTGCAACAATTATAAAAATCTTCGTACCTAGTAGTGAATCATGGAGGCGTTGAATGGGAGCTGCAAAAATCGTGTTTCAGCGCGGTTTGCCAGAGAATGACACATTTTGGAATTGCCAAACAGATGCTTACACGTATTTGATGCTCTAAGTCGTGCATGAAATGCTTGGTCACACTACTTGGTGTATTTGTACTAATCATATTCAAGTACGATTTGTAGATAATTAGTAGTTGATAAGTCGGACGATTTACAGTCGAAAGTGTCAAAAATCTGCGAATCACAAAAAAAACGGACTGTGTTTTACTGCTTGATCGGGAGCACCAAGTCACTAAAGACTCTTGAAGAAGGATGCTTCGCGGTTAAGATACAACACATGCTTCCCTTCTGATGCCCATACCCGGCTGATAGCTATAGCGTCTAGGTTTAATTAATTATTAATATTCATAGACGGTTGGCTATACTCAGACACATTGATTGAAAAATAAAAACCAATTGGTAATTTCCAACCATGGTACGTTGGGGCAAATGATATTTATTGTGCCACTCCAAGGGCGTGGCGTGGCGGGTTAGCTGTTGCGAGAAAATTCTCAACTGAGCTTGGTCAGTAGTGCTCTCGACCTCTGGTCTATCTTAAGGTGATCTCACTACATCATTGGGAAACTACGCCTTCGTCTAGCACCGATATCCAGGATGCTGTAATTGTTGCCTTCGCAACCTCCAATTTCCAACCATGATACGTTGGGGCAAATGATGTTCATTGTGCCATACCAAGGACGTGGCGTGGCGGCCGCACCACAACGAAATGTCGTCTGTCGCGCTCCACCTGTCCGATATAAGCCCTCGACTGGAGGTCACCGTGCTAGCACATGTGCTGAGAGAGTTTGCTGATCCGGTGCCCGTACTCCTCGAACGCGTTTGACAACCATCTTCCCATCAACTTGATAACAAGCCGGTCCACCCCCGAATTGAGTAATGCCGTAGCACCACCTATGCGCACAGAGTGTGTTGAATATCTCGTCGAATCGAGGCCACTTCTTGTTGCCGCTCTCTTAATCAACGCCGAAATAGCATCCGACGTAATCCCACTATTCCACATCAATAACGCCGGGTCTCCCGGTCTCGTAACAAATGTTGTTGCCGCCTTGTAGACCCACTGAGCCGCTCTAACTGGGCATAGGAGTCGATCTTTGGACTTGTAGTGATAGCGGACTTCCTCACGCCCAAACGGATTGTTTTTAGCGCCATGAAGGGTAATACCCACCATCTCGGCTCGCTTCGGGTGAAGAGGATTCTCGTTTGTGTCGAAGAATTGTATACCCGACAATCGTATGACGTAGCTGCGAACTCTTTTACCGATGAATAAGTACTCAGACCCTCTGAGGAGGAAGAAGGATCCCAGCAGTCGACCACCCCACAAACGCTGGTCGCGTGGCAGCGTGAGATTGATGTCGAGGAAAATCACTCGAAGTAGCCGAGCAGACAGGGGCTACTGCTTTACCACGGGATCGGTAAACCGGCGAATACCCCGCAGCAGGATGGCGTGGCTGGCGTTGACGCCTGGGTTGTACCCTGCCGTATTGCGATGGAACCACCGGACTGCGCACAGTTATGCGCATATCGTCGAATATGTGTTGCGTTTTTGCTGACGATTCATGCCATACTTCCACAGGTAAACCACAAACGCACCAAGTTGCTCGGCGTTCTTGTCTGTGTCCGTCGCCGTGAGCCATGGACTGAAGCGCATCATACTGCACCAGGCGACCCATTGGCCCCAAGCGCGCGAGTAGTGCTTCCTTGAGGACTGAGCGAGTGCACCTGCTCGCAATAGTGCTCCCTAAGACGCGAGAGATTTCGAAAGACGCTCGGGATCTGCACCTGTTGCCACCCACTGCATAAGTTAGCAGATAATAGAGCCATCGAAGGCGACTTCCACACCCTGCTGCCTGCATCCGCCATTTGATTATTCACATCTGGAACGTGAGAGGCTGTTGAATAGAAACAATGTTGCACCTCAGAAAGTCCGAGGATGCGGAGCAGCATTTGAGCAAATCCATTGCGACTCAACTTGCGATTTTTCCATGCGACTGCCGAAACATTAATCCAAAAGCGTACATGAGAATCACCTTCATGTGGCGCGAGCTTTCACAGGTGACCCCATAGAAGAGATGCAAAGACAGCGCTCAACAATTGCCGAACGTTGATGCGGAACGTATTATCGCCCGCGTCATTGCAGCTCTGGATTAGCTCAAGCTCCTCAACAGTGAACTTCACTTGCAAATACTGTCGATGGGCCGGGAATAAAGCACACAGACCTTGATCACTGGCATCCTGTGAATATGAAAATCTGGATCATGACGTCGAGTGAAGCAAGCCAACGGGATTGAGTTCTCCTTTCCAACTTGGACGATCAACTCAAACCACCGTAAGTCATCCTTCGCTTCAGTCGACACCGGGATGGATCAAAATCTTGGTCCACTTCGTGCAAGCGTAGCAACACGCTGGAAGAACGGCGCTGCCGACCTAATACATGTGACGATGTGTCGTAGACTGCCCAGCAGCTTAAGTAACCCCGTTCTTGTCGTTCTATCACGTTTGACCATGTCATGAAGACGGCTGAGTGCTTTTGAGACCTTTGATGGTGGCATTGAGACTGTTTTTGCGCTGAGATCCCAATCCAAGCCTAAGGCCCGACCCTTCACGAACCATGTTGTGAACTTCTTCTCATTACACGCATCAGGTCCCAAAACTGTGACCATCGCCAAGCGAAGAGCGATTTGAGCTTCTGCTAATCTTGTACCAATATCGGGCTCGATGGCAGTGTGATCATCACATCACGTCTTCGCATCAAATTTTCCTGTAGCCTTGATCGGTTGCAAGGGCCACTTTGATGCTGAACCAGCATACAAATGGCTGATAGCTGCTCCGGCGATCCAATATGACACAGGCGAATTTTTCCCGCCGAATGGACAGCACAGGTCAATAACCAATATACCGAGCTTCGAGAATGTGCCAGCGAAACGCCCAACGTGATCAACTGATATCGGTATATTCCAAATGCCCCATTGACATCACCCGTCATCATTCGGTGTAGCGAGGGATACAGATCAGCAACATCTAGAATCCGGTTAGCCAGAGCGTCTGGCCCGTCGTAACAAACCTCAACCTCAGATTCGGGTACCGTGTTATCGTTCACTGAGTCTCCAGGTGGGTATGAGAGGTCATGAATGATTCTTGCGTCAACCGAAAGATCTGCTTCACCTTTTTGCACAGCTCCGAATGGGCTACAGGTTATACCTTGTAGCTGGGGTAATAAATCGATGGCGAGGATAAGGTACCGGTTAGAATCCTGACCAGTTCGTAAGTGCTTGATGATGACATCCAAAGCTCGGGCTGCAGGAACTTGTTCAGTGAAGGATGACTTCGACTCTGGAGTAACACCGTTCAAGATAATTTGATTCCACCGTGAGCGATACCGATAACCTTCCCAGTTAGGTACTCCAACCGGCTCTTCTAGGGCCTTATTTGGCCGCGGATCTTGCTCAGATTCCCCCCTCAGTAGCCGCACCAACTCAGGTAGCTGAATCCATGCTCGACGGATAAATTCACTGTATACGGCATATTTGTGTCTATCCAAAAGGTTGACAACGGATCCATTGTCAATATCGGAAGATGGCATCGACACCGGCGGCTCAAGACCGTGACATCGAAGGAAATGATGAAGTGCGAGCTCAGCGATTTCCAGGTGGCCAGATTCCAGGCGCTGACGAGCGAGCTGCTAGCAGAAGCCAAAATCATCGCTTCACGTTGAGAAGGCGTGGGCCTACCGAGTAATGGATGTGTGGGCGGGCCCGGCGGCATGAGCCGATCGAGCGGCCCAAGCGTGGACGGGCTCATCGATACGAATCGATCGAGCGGTCCTGACGTGGACGGGATTGATGGCTTGAGCATGTCAAGCGGTCCAGTACTTGGAATTGTAGGCGTTTGCTTCTGTACCGGTAATCGGTCCGGTACCTGGGCCGTGACAAGACCGACGTCCACGTCCAGGCACCTTCACTGTAGATCTTCAGCTAAACCTCCATAGTTTTTGTCGATGAAATCGTGCACAATATCCGGTATCGCGGCAGATTTGAAGTGGCAGAGGTTCTTGATGACACAATTACCATTCTTACCCCGGCACCCTTGAGCAGATAAGAAGCGCACGCAGATTTGTTTCTTGCCTTGCTTTGGTAGTGCTTGGCGAACTTCAATAGGAATGACCGTGCGTCTCTCGGAATCGCTCTTCGCTTGATGGTTTTGCCGATTAGAGCTCGCGTTGACTACCTTCACTGCAGCAATAATATCCTGGCGGAGGATAATTTGATGCACACGGACGAAGGACGCATGGGCTGAGGTGAAGTGAGTATTGACTTGTTCCAATTCTTGCCATTATTCTTCAGTTATAAGTTCTAACTGGTCGTCTAGCCACGCGACCACCTCAACGCTTCAGGGGATGATGGTAGCTCACGAACCCGCAGTTCACCTAGAAACTTTAATGCAGCCACGAGGGTTTCGTAGACGACCGGTTTGTAGAGCAGCTGTGCAATGGCACACAATACTTCCACTGCTCCAACATTGACCGAGAAATCTGCGGGAGCTGGTACTGCCGGGAGAGTATTCTTCCTTGAGAAGTTACTCATGTCATTTCCTCGAACTCGAGCTCTCTTCTCCGACTCGCTCACCCGGTTAAAATGTAAAATTGACAATCCTCTCGTACCAAAGTCCTAACCAAACAGCGCAGGACAGCAGGGTGTGGAAAGAAGCCAAACTTTCTCCAATAAATCTGCACATATTCGACAAAATGTTGAGCCGTGATTTGCTCATACTTACCATTTACGAGAGCCAAGTGAATGGGCGTCTACATTCCAGTCGGTTGAAATTGATTTTTATCAGCAGCATTCAGATCCCGTCGCCCAACGAATTGACCAATGTCGGCGCATACGCCACCACTACGTTGAAGGGAGATGAGGTGATCCACTTCTTCGCCTAGTGGAGCAGCTCCAGTCGCTTTACCAACTTGCCCAGGGAGAAGGACTGGAGCGGTCGCCACTGGGGTTAATCGCATACGTTTGCCTACTGGTTCCTGGTTGAGAGTGCTTTCTCCGCCACCGCCTCTGCCTCGTCATCCTCGGAGTCGCTAAGACCATCGCTCAACGTCGATTCGGTCTCCTCCAAAGCATTGAGGGCTGAGGCCTCGGTTTCGGTCGAATGGTGTCAAAAAATAGTATCGTCGAACATTGCACCAGTCGGATGTGGGCGCCCACCTTCTTTATAAAACACGTAATCGAGAACATGCCGGACGGTCACTCCTGACACCTCAAAGCTGGTAATATCGAGAAGTGGGATGATCTTGGACTCATCGATCGCCGTTTCCTTCACCTCGGTAAGAAGAACTGTAGAGTCTCGTATAGCGTTCAGGTCGATACCATTGAACTGTTTGTACAAAATCTCGCGCGTCTTCTTCATTTCTGCTGCCATGACAAGACCTTCACCTTGCTTCCGCGCGTTGACTCGCTCTCTGTTTTGCCATAAGCGATCCCACTAGGTCGAATGCGCCAGGGCGAAGATAAGAATAACTTGGTGCCATGGAGTCTTGTCGTACATGTTCGGAAAGGTTAGCCTTGGAGGTTGTTAGCTGTTGCGAGAAAATTCTCAACTGAGATCGGTCAGCAGCGCTCTCTGGTCTATTTTTAGGTGATCTCTCTGCATCATTGGGAAACTACGCCTTCGTTCAGCACCGTTATCCAGCATACTGTAACCGCTGCCTTCGCAATCCCGAAATCCCCGGAAAAGTATTGCAAAACAAATTGACAAACTGCGGCACCATCAAAATACAAATACCCAATTGCATAACGACCCGAAATTGCAATTATCAAATGCAAATACACTGCAATAATATCAAATTGCAGTAGTACCTACAATATCCAACTGGATACTTTTCGTTTTAACGATGTTGAGTCCGCAGGCACATTAGAGACTTTTCGGTGCAGTTTTGATAGAGTTCAGATTCAGCTAGGTGCTCAATCTTTGCAAACTCTATTTCATTTCCAAGGGAATTTTCGGGAATGATTCCCACCTGTGTCAAACGCACGATGAACGGTTCAACATATTACAATTAAGCATGGACGTGGTGGACGTGGGCGACGACGGAAACTCTGAGTCGTTTGATCAGACGGATGATGTCCAGGTGCCGCTCGCACAAGTGGTAGATATTGACACGAAATCCGGGCCAATCCAGGACGAAGCGCTTCTGCGTAAGACGTTCTGCATAAGCGACGATCTGATACCTCTTCGTACAGTGTAGTGAAGCCTGGGGAAGCTGTGTATGGAACCACAAACGGGGTGATGAAAAGCTTTGATGAAGTGGCTAAGGTGTGCTTTATGAATGACGGATTTATTTCCGAAAAACAAGGACCTCCTTTCCGCACTCGCTTTTCTCATCTGCTACGGCAGCACCAGAAGAATCCGCTTGCATCAATGTGATCCTCAGGAAACTACTGAAGAGTGTGGTGGGCGTGAATTCTTGATGGACGGATCATCTCAAGAATTAACGACGCGAAGGAGCTTCGAGGAGCAAAAAAAAACGCGAACAACATCAAAAACAAAACGGCATTGAATCATCGGGTGAGCTGTTACGTCGCCTCGCTATGGATGAGATTGAAGTGCAGCAATCTTGTAACGAAGTGCAACAGGGCCATGTCCGGAAGGGCTTAGTACCAAAAAAAGAGTGTTTGTTTTCCTGTGGAAACTAAAAGCCAACCAAGCGCGGAAAGCTAGAGATTCTGACCGAATCCGTTGTGTTAGCAATTGAAGACATGGACGCAGGCTCATCGAGATATACGAATATCTGAATAAATGGTTTCGGTTTGAAAAGAGGAGGCAGAGAGGAAAAAAGCACACGAGCTCAAACTCGAAGAGCGCCGCGAGCTGCTGAACGTGGTCGCGACGAACGTCAGACAGCTGCAGAGCGTGAGCAAAAAAAGTTTATGTTGAATTTGCTCATGGTAGCCCTTGGTAAGAATGTTGAGGAAACCAAGGCAAGGAGTAAAAATAACATCAGTTCATTGCAAGAAGATGGTCTCTAGATAGATCCGCCTAAATACCCATATAATGAAGGTAGCTTGGTGTCAAGTACATGGATATCTGGTTGCCTAACAGTTTCAGACACGTACGAATATTTGTTAGGAAAACTGCTGCAAAGAATAGTTTTCCCACTGCCGTCTGCCTTGTGAGAAGTTTTGTTATCCCAATTCACTTTGACCCTGCAAAATCCCCAATTAACAGACTCTCGGACGCTACTCATGCTAGCGTTAAACGTGCGCTTTGCATCCGTGTCTGGATTAGGAAACGAACAGCACACAGAATCGCTGCAACCATAAGCAGGATCTCCGTTAATAACCTTCCCACGGAAGTGATCATCCTCAGATAGCTCTTCTACTATTCCACTCATGCTAACCATCGTTGAGGCATGGCGACGTCTTTCAACAGGGCCAAACAGACCAGCAATAATTCCATCAGGTGTGGTGATGGCTTGCCAGTTAAAGCAGCGGGGTCTTGTGTGGCCATCATAAAGAGACCGCTGTACATTCTCGTAAGGAAAAGCGGGATTGGCGCGTACACTTGGTCGTGAGACTGTAGTACGTCCACGAGAAGAATACGGTAGACACTGTTAGGCTGGTACTTCCGAGCGTTTAGACGATTGTATTGCTTCTGTAGTAGAAGGCAAAAGGTAAAGTGATTAGACTATTCTGTTTCCAATTCCACTTATCGCAGCGAGCAGGACAGCCTCCTGGTACTGCCAGAGGCTCGAGTCTAGTAGTTGCAACTGCAACTGCAAGGACTGCCAACAGGGGTTCCCAATAATATACGGAAGTAGAAATATATTCCGTATTTTCCGTGAAATTATTGATTTTGTCTGCACAGATAATAGAATCTGTAATTTACTTTTTTTTTTTATCTCGACAGACTTCAATATTTTACTTTTAATGTTGTTCTACACATCACTAAGTACATAATACTATACCATCATGAAGAGAATATTGTTTTTAACCTTGTAAGATTTATATGCTCTAGTGTCCAGTGGATTCGAAAGCACGGCCTTTAGTCCGAACTATCGCTCTGCTGTCATTTGTAAATTTTCCAGCTACATTAAGCCTCACCGCTCCTCGACCTCTCACCATGGCACCCACCGACACGCTTCTGCAAGTAGCACGCCCCCAAGCGAAGTTTTTGCCGAAGCAGGTGGTTACGTTCTTTTTCAAGCGCCTAGTAAATGACAACAACGACCCTACCGGCTACTTCGAATGCAAGGCTTGCGGTCGGTCCCGCAAGCAGGTTGCCGGAACAGGGTATATTAACCTGGTAAACCATGTTCGCAACGAGCATCCGACGTTTGCGAGAGAGATGGAGAGTGCCTCCGCTTCACCCACCGGCTCATTTATCCCTTGGGTTCGACAGAAGGCATCCAACCGCTTCGCATAGCTGAAGTGGGTGGTGAAATCAAACCTCCCCCTCTCATTCGTTGAAAATCCGGTGACCCGTCGGTAAGTTGTTTTATAATTTTTAATTTTACTTGGTCTAAATTGAAGGTTATCTAATTGACTATTGCTTTATTATCAGTTACACCAATTTGTCTCCAATCTCTGTCGATACGCTGCGATTCAACATGGAGGCGGTGACGCACGAAGTGGAGACCATCATCGGTGCCGAGATGCCCAACGAATTTGGGCTGATGCTTGACGGGTGGAGCAACGGCAGTGAATACTATCTCGCCGTCTATGCGGTTTACTCCATCAAAGGCGGTGGGCACTATCCCTTGCTGTCAATGACACCAGTTGTCAACGAGCCAGAGAATGACCGCGGGGCCGAGTCGCTTTTGGCGGCAATCTCTATTTTTCTTCCTTTTTCGGAAAAAAACGGTGAAACAATGTCTATTTCTTGTCGGTGACAACTGCTCGGTCAACAAGAAGCTCGCCAACCTGATGGGCATTCCTCGTGTTGGCTGTGCAAGCCACCGCTTGATCTTGGCGGTAAAGGCGTTGTTGGCTCTCTACGAGGCCGACGTCTGCGAAGTCCAACGTCTGATGAAGCAACTCAAGACACTCAGTGAAGGTGCCAAGCTCAGGTGCATTTATTCCGCCTTTTTAATTTTAATAGTTTCTAATTTAGGTTTTTAAGGCTGGTGACGCCGCTTCGACCCGTACTTCGTCAACAGACGCGTTGGGGCTCAACGCATGCCATGCTGCGTCGGTATTTTGAATTACGTGGCTTTTTGTCCATGGATGACGATGAATTGGCGGAGTTTCTTCCATCGCCGACAACCCGCAGCCGACCCAAAGCGCTCTTGAACGAGCTTTCGGACTGCGAGTCCGTTTCTCTGGCGCTACAAGGCGACGACGTTGATCTTCTAGGGGCGCGCGACCTACTGGATGGGCTCATTGCAGTTAAGCCCATTCTAAAAACCTACATTGGTAAGTATTTATGCTCATCTGACAAAAACCATTGTGCTTACATTTCGTTTACTTTTTATAGGAGCATCTGCGAATATTATTCACTCTCCTGCATTCGAATCTGGATGCCGCAAGGGTCTAGCTGGTGATGCAGCTAAATTGTTGCGCGACGAGAAGACCGCTATAGGGCCCTTTTTGCAAGGGGTAGAGTGCGAGCCACAAGTCGTGGCGCTGCAGAAGGAGGGTTTTGCTGAGCACATTCTAAAAAAGAGCAAGGTAAAGCCATGTGTTGCCTCTTACCCACTGGTGAGCGCAATTCCGCCGACTTCCAACAGAGTGGAGCGTCTTTTCAGCGTGGCCCGAGCCATGATCGGACATGAACGCCAAGCTCTTTCACCACTAGCTGTGGAAATGCTGCTCTTCCTCCAGGTCAACGCTTCGTACTGGGATGTTGAAGTTGTTGACAGGTGTGTGTAAGCCGATTTGACCGACGACACTGCTACGGTAAAGGGAAATGCAGCTACTCTCAGCAATTACGTATTGACTCGCTCTCCTCCTATTAATTATTGATTCCTTACAGTTTGTTTTACCAGTGCATTACGAAATTATAGTAGCACGGCGCAATCCATATAAATTCAATATTCGGAACCCCTGACTGCCAGCTGGTAATGAATGCAACTTGTATTCACTCCAAAGTGCAACGGGGGCAAGGCTTTCAACCTAAGTCCCACGCTACAATTCGCTCCCAAGTCTTGCTCACAACTTGGACACAGTTAATATGGATATTTTCAAGATACTATCTTGTAACGTCAGCATGGTACACTGTACCATATTTTGGGTACACCGTACCATATTTCAAAATTCATTTTTCCTTATGCCTACAGATGAGCCATGGATACACAGGCCACTGAACTTGTAAATTTCACTACTTTAGAGTAACTGCCATAATAGTAGGAATCTTACTCACATCGTGGCTGCCAAGTTGACACAGAAAGCTCTCTAGCTCGAGGTCAGCTTCTGAAAAGCTGTCGCCAACTTGGCGTCCTCGGCAGCTTCCACGTAGGTATGTATAGCGCAGGTATATCCTGTGCTAGAGATTTTAAAGGCTCCCAAGAGTCCTCGATAGGCTCTTGGCCGCACCAAATCACTAGGAGTTCATAGGACTGTTTCTGTTCGATCCAACGGTGCTTGTTAGGTCGATTAACTTTCAACACGATTCCTTGGGAGGCAACGTGCTCCAGTAATTCCTCCGTAACTTCCAAGTCACTGTCTGCGTAGAACTTCAATCGTGAAGCGTGCTAATCTTGCTCCTTGGCCTGTAACCCGTTGCCGAACGCGAAACGAGTGCGAGTCCGCACGGGTAACCACGTAGGGGCCGATCCATGTTACTAGCCGTTTGTTGTGTCGTCGCTCATAGACATATGATCTGAGGACGTATTCACCTCTGGACTTTCTCTTGTTCAGCAATGTGATCTTCTCACGCTTGTCCTTGACGACACAGTGCATGTCCTCAATAATAGACCGTAGCTTCGCCAGAGACTTTTCAATGGCTGCACTCGAAATAGAGACTATCTTAGGTTGATTATCTGGTACATACAGGGTATAGGCTGGTGTTGGGGCTGGTAAGCCAGTGATCACCGCAACTGGAGCCTTGTGTGCAAGAGAAGCCACCGGAGAATGGTTCATGTTAGCTTGCACCAAAGGTATCAGGTAGATCCAGTCGTTGTGAGAAATCTGATACTGCATTATCATTGCACGTAGCACTTGCAGTACATCTCTGTTTGCACGTTCAACGGATCCACTGATCCACGGGCTGTATGCCACTACGAACTGCAGTTCACACTTCAGCCGCTTGCATAGCTCTGCAAATACTTCGTTCTTGAAGTGTTATCCTTGGTCACTGACCCATACCGGTGGTACACCGAACCGGCTGTGACACCCAAGCAAACCACCAACTGCAATCTCACTTGTTGGCGTATCACACGCAATCAACTCACAAAAATGGGTAAAGTTGTCCTTCAGTAGTAGTAGGTATTTGCATGAGCCAAATCCATCACCCAAATAGAGAAAATCTCAGTGTAAAGCTCCATTGCGAATGTCAGAGCGGTAAAGCTCACCCCATGGTCTAGGCACCACCCTACCTCCTTTTACATGTTGGCAGAGCAAGCAGGAGCGCAGGAAATGACGAACTAGAGCAGAGATTCCTTCAATCGAAAATACACGGCAAATGTGGTTCAAGACCACGACTTCACCACGGTGACCCAGTGCCCAACAATGGGCGATGATCAGGAGTCGCTGGATGAGTGCCCTGGCAGCAGTAGGTATCCAAATACAGTCGTCAATTCGGTAGACACTATGTTCATCTGCAGCACTAGCAGTAGGAGCAGAAGGTACATGAGCCGCTCGCATAGCCGCGATTTCACTCAACGTCTGCCACGTAAAGTTCTTTTGGTCAAGAGGCCGAAGCAGAGGCTTTCGAGAAGCTTGGGTCTGTGAGCGAGTCACTCGTTTGAAACTAGATGCTGCAGTCGTAGATACCGTATGAGTAGTAGCACCACCCCACCGAATAAGCATATCCGCCCACACGTTGTTGACACCCTCAATATGAACGATAGTATAGCGATACTCCATGAGTTTGACAGCACATCGAAGTAATTTTCCACGTACGTGCTTCTTAACTTCTTGCCCAGGGGAAAAAACATGGATGAGGTTTCGGTGGTCACAAAACACCTTGAAACCACCAGGCCTCAGCAACAGGTAGTCAAGGTCTTCCCAGGAGAGCACGATTGGTAGTGCCTCCTTCTCAATGACGCTCCAGTGCAGCTGAGCGCCAGTGAACGAACCGCTCTTGCAAATCAGTAGCTCATGCTCCTGTTCAGTAATTGCCACTCCTGGTTTCCATTCACGCACTTGCGTAAGGATTGAAGCCCAACCGTAGTTGCTAGCATCTGGAAATAAGCCGTAGGTGGCCTGCTCACGCGGGAGTGTCATCATGGCCGAGATCTGCAGGAGTTTCTTGACCTGTTCGAAACTGCGGAGTTCATCATCGTCCAATGCGATGCTGATTCCTGAAGCAACACGCTTCGTCTTTCGTTTACCAGTAAGTGCACGATCCAACAGCGTTTACAACGGCCGAATGGTGCGAGCGCAGTCAACCAAACTGTCTCGCATCCAGTTCGTTGCGCAGATAAACTGCTACGGTTGTCCCGCTGTGACTGGTACTGGCATTGAAGTGAGCCCTTCAATCCGTTTTGGGTCATGGCGAACACCATTCTCGTCAATCACCTTACCACACCACGTAACTGAGCGTTGGACTTCTTCAGACTCAACTTTTATCCGAATTCGTTCACCAAGTCAAACAACCGCTCTGGAGCAGCGAGGTAACTCTCTATAGTTTCAGAGTAGAACAAGAGATCGTAAATCCATATAAGTTGCTCCTACTCAAGAGGCACCTGTCGGAGCCTGTATCCGCACAGTACTGTAGCTCACACACGTCGTTCAGCGTGATGGTGTTCACTCCACCCAAACGCTTCTTAATCCGCTTCATCCTGCTCTTGTCATGGTGAGAGGTATGAAACTTCGTCGGTAATTCCTTCTTCTCCTCTGGAGACGCAGTTGGGCAATTCGGCACATAGTGTGGCCCACTGCATTTAATA